CCCGGCCCTGTCACCTCAGCGTTACCCGGCTCGCTGCTGGCTGTTCTAACGGAGTTTACAGTTTATCCCCCGTATCCGAGTCCCTCAACTAGCCCCCCCAGAGCGTACCAAAAGCAATGTTTTAACTTTCTCCCGGCACGGTACAGCCTTCCTGCCGCCGTTTTACACAGGCGCCTCAGGGTAGGCCGTGCGCTGCTCTAGGCCTCGCTTCTATCACACAGCATTGGACATAAGATTTTTCTGCATTTAAACCACTGACAATTACTTTAAATTATGAATATATAAGTGCTTAAGCCTGTTAAAGAAAAGCTGACAAGCTCTAAAGCTTGGTGACAAATGCAGTGAAAGCACATTTAAAAGCGCTCCCTGTTACCGGTCAGTTCTTAGCCCCTGTGAATGGTGAGGATGTACAAGGAGCCACGTCTCAGAAACTCACTTAGTCGCACTGCATGAAAAGCTATAAAGTGTGCAAGAACGCGAGCTTATTTTAACCTGTACATATGCGTAGTGACACATTTTAGTTATGTGAATGTAATTGTACATGACTCCTTCCCCAACCCCTGCTGCTAAGTATACCTAAGGTAAAGGCTGTGTTAAAAACAGAAAGGGATGAGGAAATAAAGACGTAAAATGTGTATTAAGCAATGACATGGCCAAAACCAAGGACACCCTTGGTGAATTATAGTCTAAACCTTACCATTTAATGGGTATAGGTGTTTTATTACTATTGATTTGACAGAAACCCAGGAAATTGTTGAAATGCAACTTTGATAATACCCTGAAGTATATTCCAGTGTTCTTTTGTAGGATTTATTAAAATTTCACTTTGTTCAGGCAGACATACTGTAATGCTTATATTTATTTCTTTTAAATCTTTCAAAAACTGAGTGACAAGCATTCTTACTCTTTCAGGCGACTAAATGCAGAATTAGAAGCAAAAACAGAAAAACTGGTGCGTCAGGCTGAAGAAGTAATGGTGAGTAGGTTATGCAGACTGTTACGTAACTTAGCCTTGGTTCACATGCACACAGGGTCAAGTTTCAAAAGAAATCATTTAGACCATGACACCTAAAAGTATTTTGGTTTCAAATGCAATCTAAGCTTTTCATTTTTTTTTTCAAAATTGTAAACTTCTACTAAAAACACATCCAAAAGTATTTTTAATATAATTTCATCAAGTAGGTGGATATTCATATAGATGTGTGGAGCATTTGTGCAGATATATACATAAAATCACGTTAAAAGCTTGTTTATGGTGTTTAAGAAAAGTATGTGTAGGTGGTTTCATGTCTTAAATACTAAGAAAAAATTAGTATTTGAAAACCAGATACTGCTGTAATAACATCCTAGTGAAATAGGATCTACATTGTTCAAGCTGACAGAAATACAAAGAATAAGCAACATAAATAGAAAATATGCAGTTAGTAAGAAGGGAACTTTCTTAAAACAGAAAAATTTCCTGTTTATTGTCAGTATTGTCTTTTAACATTGGTGTGGCTGTGTACCAGATAGAGTGGATTTTTTATATGAAAATTGGTCAAATTAAAAAAAGGGAATGGGGGAGGTATGGTTAATACCCAAAACAGTCTGGAGAAGGTGTTCTGCATATTAGATACATTCATTGTAAGTCCACTCAAATAAATAAGGCTTAAAAAGCAAATTATTAAGTCTTCTGGAAAGCTATATGTATATGCACTTTTCCTACTGTTGAAACTTCATTTTTACGTCCTGTTAAAACATATTCTCCTCTTGAGCTCTGGTAAGCTGAGGCTAACCGCTTGGCATTTGAACAGAAGCAGATAAGCGTCCAAAATAGCATCTAGTCTCTTTCCTTTAAAAACCAGCAACAATAAAACCACTTTTTTTTTTTCCTTCTCTAAATACAGCAGAAGATCAAATATTCTTAGGGCACTTAATATACCACATGGCACTGCCAGATTGCACAGATATACATTTAACAGCAAAAGAAAACCAGTCTAAGTTTAAAAAGCCAAAATAAAATGCTGAACAGGACAACTGCATTTTGTTCTGGATTATGCTTTCTAACTGTAACTTAGCAACATAGAAGCTATCTGAACATTCAGACCAAATTGTTCTCTAGAGTGCATACAACATATCAGTGTCCAATTATGGTCATATTGCATGAATAAAGATTTAAGGCTTAATTGTGCAATATGGAAAATTGAAAATTTGTTCCACCTGCTGTGCATTTTCTACTCCTATATTTCAGAGAAAAAGGAGGGAGGGTAACAGCATCTCAGACGATGTTAAGCTGGGCAAAAGTTTTACAGGCAAAAGGCAATTACATGTTTTGGAGCAGAAATAAATGTTTGGGGATAGCAATGACACTTTAATTTTTAGCAATCTTTTCCTGTGTTTGAGCAGTTCTTTTCCACAGCAGACTATAGTTTCCATTCTTTTCCATAGTAGACTATAGTTGTTGTGATCCGTGATTTACGAATATGCAATTCATCTTTAATGGATTACATTCCCCCAAAATTGACTACTTTTTTTTTTTTTTTTTTTTTTTTGAAATAAAGAAAGGCCAACAGGAGATACTATCTAGGCCAGTTTCAGTACAGACTAAGTCATGTGAAGATGACAGACAGAGGTATGTGCTTTACAACTGCTGCATATAATTCGTGGGGAATCTTTCACGCTGATCCTGCACACCCTGACTTGCACCCTAGTCATGCTCCTGTTTTATCTATCTTTGCAGCATACTAGATTGGTGGAGTCTAAATTTTGTCCTCTATCTGAAACAATTGATAATAAGCGTTGTTCCTTGTTATTTCAAGGAAGTCTTGATTTTGCTGAAATGTTCTATCTAGGATGCTAAGTAGTGCTGACATCTGTAAAAAAGCAAGGTAAGGTAACAGGTTTCTTTGCAGTACAAAACAGTGGGCACTCGGCAGTGGATGGTTTTTAAGCAGTTCAGCTGACAAAGCAAAGAAATAGATACCGGTTCACAGTTAACTTGGCCTAAATGTTCCTGGGACAGGAAGTGCTTGATTAAAAAAAACAAACACAAAAACCTAAACCAGACAAACATTCAGCTGCCACCCTCTGGAACCTGGAATCATTACACTTCTGAGGCTGACATACCTTGGCCTGTATGAACATATATGCAACTGTGGGTTTTGGCCTGTAAGTTCAAACCCATTAGCTCTAGTGGGGCTAAATAGCTGTATTTACTTAGTTGTTCAGAGGCATTATTATTTACTTAGTTGTTCAAGGGTTTGTATATTGATAGTGTAGGAAGTGGGTGAATTTAAGATAGACAGTTTATCAAGGATCTGATCTGTTAGGTTCCTGAATTTATGATGCCAGTAATCTCGATAACAAAGATACAGGGCCAGACTACAAGATGCTTCAAATGTTAAGCTGCAGTTGGGAAACTGTTTTGAAATAGTATATATGAAAGTCTGCTAAAGATGATCAAATAATTACTTTTGTGCAGAGTAAAAGCGAAAACAAAATGTGATTTTTTTTAATGAATGTAAAAGGGTTTTTCAGTACACAAAGAGGCGTGACAGGAAGTCTGTGATAGAAGCCTAGCTATACCAGCAATAGTTTGCTACTACAGTTAAAATTATTCATGAGCTATTTTAAAGCAGTATCTGTCAGTTGTAGAGGGGAAAAAAAAAGAAACTCCATGTGTTACCAGTATAATCATGCTTTGCAAACAAATTCTGCATCTGGCTTTTAGTTTTATGTTCTGTTAGATGGATTTTGAACAGTAGACAGAAGATTTTTAAGAACTTCAAACTGGAGTTGAGTTATAGGGCTGTTTTATGAAGTAATGTGATCGGAGGATTCAGCCCCACAAAGGGAGTTAACAGCTTTGATGGTATACATTTAAAATAAACGGGAGTGCTGGAAGAATTCAAAAAAATATTGGCAATTAGCATGTCAGAGTAGCAGCTGATCTACCAATTACCTACATAAATTAAAACACCTTAGAACAACCACAGTTTGTGTTCTGGTAAACATTTATGTGAGAGAAGAATTGAAATCCCATGCTGTAGTGAAAAAAATTAGAAATGTGTGCTAGGAATTAGGCACACTGATTATCCATGAGTGAACATTGAGGCCATTCAATTAGATTAGTTCCAAGTATTTAATTAAAAAAATTTTTTTCCTTCAAAATTGTGCAAGCAGATAGGCCATAAATCTGAAGGAAGCACTTGAGATATCTTTGAAATATCTGTTTGAAATTTCCATTGATTCCTTTAAGGAGAATGAACACTAAAGCAACTGGAAAGAAGGGGAGAAATTGAAGCAAAGAAAGAGGTAGTATCAGGGGGCTGGGGGAGAAGGCGGGTTAAGAAAAAAAAATGAGTAAGCAAAGTAAAAAAAAAGGCAACAAATATTTAAGTCACTCTCCAAGTCAGTGTATATTTTAAAGTTGTTTGGGAGTTTTTATAGCATAATTTTTTGCAGAGAAGCTTGAATTACATAGAGACAAAGCAGCTCCAGTGACACTGCACTGAAGTCAGCTTTTGTTTACACTTTCACTCTTCAGAGCATTGCCAGGCTCATGGCAATGGGAACTGTACGCGCATGGGCAAGCATGCTATAGACTTTGAATAGGATTAGCAAACACAAAGGGTTTGCTCATGCGCATGCATCTCGTGTTTACATGCTGAGATAGAATTGTTAAACATTAGCTTCTGTTTCAGTGTTGCCACAATCCTCTAACTACTTATTTGTATACCTTTTCAGGATTTACACATTAATTTCACTTACCAAACAACTGTAGGACTGTATTATGAGGTTTTAAAAATGGGTTGTCATGTATGGGGAAGAGGAAAGAAACCATTAAGGTTAAACAAGTTTGAGGAATTTAGTGAACAACGTGGGGGGGGAGGTTGTTTTGCTTTCTTTGTTTGTTTTTTTAAACTGCAGGCTCTGAGACAACAGATATAGTAGGAACAAATCAGTCTATTGATGGAAAAAACATTATTGTTTTCTTGAGTATAGAAAATGTTGTATTTTCATGTTTTTCGGAATAACATATAACTGCTATTTCTGTGGCAGCAAATCCTCACCTTCTGCATGCTCCTAAAGCTAGCCAATAGGAAGGAAGCATGAGGAAAATAGGGTAAATAGACAAAAACTAATCATCCTATTCTTGAAGTCTGTTGCCAACCACACACAGACGATTTCTCCAGGCTTTTTTTTTTTTTTTTTTTTTGGATTAATAAAATCTGGAGCTTTATGCAGATAATTCCTGTTGATGAATGGATGTCTGTGAAATTTTTAAAAGCAAGATCTAAATGTTTGCTCAAATCAGCTGGGCAAAAAAATTGAGGTGACTTGATGTGCCTGAAATTTAAATTTTATTCCAAATCTTTTATAAGCCAGCATTTTAATTGACGTAAAAAAATTATAAAGGGTAGTAAAAAAAATAGCCTTTCAGTGCAATAACACAGATTCACATAACTCATTCTGAAAGAAAAAAGTGATATATATGACAAGAAACTTAACCTGAACAGTACACGGCATGCTAAAACTTTCTGCTTGTTTCCAGCAGATTTTAAAATTAATCATTTAACCTGAGGGTCAGTTACTAAGAAGCATGGTTTTCAGCCAACAAGCAGATAAGAAAGCTGCTTTTTCATTCCTGATTTTTCATCTGTAAAATGGATGCAATATTTGTAATACATATTTCAGAGAAAATTCTGTGAAGCTTAATCTATAAATTGCTCCCACCTCATATTCACTTGATAGTCCCTGTCAATTGACTTGACAACAGTCAATCTGAGCATACAATTACACTCTCTCTTAGGATGTAGAGGACACTGGTTTATATCTTCATTTTCTTTGTATTAATTCAGGGATTTGTATGTCAGGCATATTAACCACTGAGCTGTTGGTGATCTTTGGTAATGGATTGTCAGTCTCTCTTGTTGAAGCTGATAATGCTGTGCATACTGGCTAAGTACTCCTGCTACAGGGAATCATTGATCTAATAAGCCAGTAGTTGCAGCAATCACCTGAATTGCAAGAGATGAGATTTGGATTCTGGTACATAAGTAAACTATTGTATTAGATACCCTAGACTCCCCAGGTGATTTAGATAGCAAATAAGGTAGAATGGAAAGGCAGAGAATCAGACTGCATTTATGATTGAACTTAGTATATGTTCCCACCTTAGCTATATTGTTAATTCTGGACATATAAAATAGAATAGTAGAATCATAGAATTGTTTAGGTTGGAAAAGACCTTTAAGATCATCAAGTACAGCCATTAACCTAACACTACCAAGTCCACCACTAAACCAATTAAGGGTAGAGTAGTAATTTCATGTTTCCTGGCTTGGTGGCTGGATTATTTTTTAATGAAACTAAAAACTAGGAATCATTAAGGTTGGAAAGGATCTCTAAGATCAGCAGTCCAACCATCAACCCAACACCACCATGCCTACTAAACCATGTCCCAAAGTGCCACATCTACCCGTTTTTTGAACACTTTTTTTGACTCCACCACCTCTCTGGCCAGCCTGTTCCAATGCTTGACTACTCTTTCTGTGAAGAAATTTCTCCTAATATCCAATCTAAACCTCCCCTGGCGCAGCTTGAGCCCATTTCCTCTCATCCTGTCGCTAGCTACTTGGGAGAACCAACACCCACCTCACTACAGCCTCCTTTCTGGTAGTTGTAGAGAGTGATAAGGTCTCCCCTCAGCCTCCTCTTCTCCAGGCTAAACAACCCCAGTTCCCTCAGCCGCTCCTCATAAGGCCTGTGCTCAAGACCCTTCACCAGCCTTGTTGCCCG